CTTCTTTTGTTCAGACCCTTTAAAAGAAATTATACTTAAAGTGAGTGTTTTCAGCTCAGAGAATTTTCTTGTTTCTGTAATTTATTGCCTAAATGAACATTGGAATAGATATTATGTGAGACATTTATCCAAAAAATTAGGAAAGCTGGCGGGTAAAGCCAGTATTGAAGTCAAATCAGGCTCTGGCACACAAAACTCAGGGCTTAGAGGTCAACAAGGCGGGGTCCAGCCCTGCTCCATCCATTCACTATCTGTGGATCAGAACCATTTAATCTGATCCAGGCTGTCCCAAAGGGGTAATTCCCACATGGGGAATGAATTCCTCCTTGCCCTGACAATAGATGTGTCTGTAGCTGCAGAGGAGACCGACTCTGTCTCCTTCCTCTGATGCTGAGCATACTGAGAGCACAAGATGCCAGCAGGGGAGAAAGCAAAGGAAATGAGGAGACAAAAAGGTCAGAGCCTGGGAATAAGGCAGGCAGGGGAAGGGAGAGAAACACCAGATAAACAAATCTCTGCAGAACTGCAGAAAGTACTTCAGAGAAATTATACACTTAACACTGAGCATCTTTGCAGATACCAGAACCTAGTGCCAAAGGGGAAGCACAAATGCTGGTCATGCAGCAGGAAACTCAACAAATTTCATATTCCAAATCACACTCATTACATAAATTATTACATATAATTGTGTTTTTAACTCCTGTGTTACCGTTATTTCATAGAATCTTCCCAAGCTGCTCCATCCATTGACATCAGATCTGCTTTCAAAAGAAGGTAACTTCAGTGATCCCATCCAGCTCCTCAGTAATGGACATTGATAGCATGCACAGAACTTGTGTCAGACAATTGTACTTGATATAAATTATAAAACTGTATTTGTAAGCATAGATTAAAGAAGTGGGATTTTGAGTAATTGGTGGTGGTTAGAATGAAATAGTTTCAACACACAAATACTACATATGATATTAAGAACCCCTACTGTGAAATTACAAGTGTCATTAATTTAAAGAAAAATTGAACTTTTAAGTCAATTAAATATATGTTTCTTTGGAGGTTTTAAAAAATGTATTTTCATTTTTAAAATGTATTTTCATTCACTAAAATATTCTACTGCATATTTCCTGAAAGCTGTCAGCCACAATTTGAAAGTTCCTGCTCCCAATCCTGCACTGATTAAAAGCAGAGAGAAAATTCCCTCTGATTTCAAGAAGACAGGATTTGGCTTTGTTACCTAACAATAAATACCATCAATAAGGAAAACCAGCAAAGAGGATAGCACAGAGGATCTAAGATAAAGCATTGTGTCTTAAAGTTTGTTATCTTTCAGTATAGGTGTCATCTCTTTATGGTGAAATTATAAAGAATATATCAAATGAAAATACTTTACAAACAGATAATGAATGCAGTTTGTTAATTTACAAGTAAAGCTGTAATTCAGAGATAACTGCTTTTATTTAGGGGGCTTTAATTTAAATGTAAATACAAAATATTATATTCAAGATGCATTTCCTTCTTTAGCACATTTTAAAAATGCAGTAACTACGCTGCCCAAGCAGACAAAGATATCTCAGTATTTTCTGATTTTCTAATATCTTACATGTAAAATCTTGATTAAATTTCAGTTAAGATTTGCACTATTTTTCCCTTTTTACAAATATTTAGGACATTTCTTTTGTCTATATGTGCTCTATGATAAGGTAATTCTGCTAAAGATCATGTCATAGAAAGAAATGCACCTTGATAGGACTGTGATTCTATCTGTAAAAACGGACAACATTTATTCTTTTTTATAACTGTTTTCTCCCTTCATTTAGGGAAAGGTAAAATCTTAAGGTTAAATACTTTTCAATCAGTATTTGACAGAGCTATGCATTGTTAAAAGCATCACCCAGCAATGCAAATCTTTGTTTTGTTTTCACAGCAAGAGATCAGCACAAGCCCTTTGTTTTGTCCACTACAGAAATGAAAAACAAAGCTGGTTGTGTTGACTAGCTGCCATTTGTTTGTGTTACTGAAATCTAACACAAACCTTGGCAAATTTATGTACTCAGTTACAAAAATTTGCCATCAAAGTATAAGAAGAAGCAATGCAAACCTTTGTGTTATTTTTCACAAGCGCCTACAGAAACATAATCCGTGTGAAAAAGCATACAAGTTTGTGTTGGTTTTATACAATTATTTGTGTTTCTGGACATTGTTGAGTGTATGAGAAGTGTAGAGCAATGAGTGTTGTCTAAGTCTTCCTGTATTAAACAAAGATTTGATCTTTTTCTGTCAATAACAGTGGTGAAGGACAAGAGGATGCAGGAGAACTTGACTTTAGTGGTCTCCTGAAACGTAGGTGAGAACCAAGTGGTGCAGTGAGCAGGTGTGGATTGCAAACCATTAGGTTCACCCACAGAAACAGTCAGGTGTAGATTAATAACTCCTCAAGGATTTTGTGACCTTTCAGCTTTTTAATGTTCCTAACTGGTTTTTATTCTCATAGTATAACATGCAAATGTTCTGTTATTTTTGCCTCTAAGTGTGCAGAAAAGAAAGCTCAGATTTGTGCTGGGAAAAGAAGTGAGCCTCAGCCTAAAGAGCCCAATAACATTTAGTTCACCTGCTATTTCTTTTGTGTTTGCATGGAAAGCACAGGGGGGAAATTTCCTACACAGGGATGAGCAGTACAGAAAATTGAGTCCGGTGCAACAGTAAAAAAACCTGCAAGGGTTAAATTTATCTCTGTAGCTACATCCTCACTTGATTTTATAAGCATCCTGATATGAAAAAAATCATATATCATGCTTTCAAGTCATAGATATTGGTATAATTATTTTTAGGGTTTTTTTTAAATATGTACAATACACAAATGCTCAGTCATGTTTTATCTAACTCAAATGTTTTGATGGAAAAAACCTGGGGTACATGTTTCTCTGATTTGCCTTGAAAATCTGGTGTTATGATAGTTATGTCTCTAGTTATCTCAGATCTTAAACCCAGTTTAGTCTTTCACCAGGTTAGGACAAGATAGTTAATTCATCACCTTTTAAAATCAAGCAGAGAAATTCTATATGCCATGGAAATCACTGACAGCTGATCACAGAGAACTGGAAAAAGGAATTGCATCCTTTTTCTCATCTACCACTTACTCTAAAGGAGGAAAATCTGTAGCATTAATTACATTAAAAGGTCACAAAGGGCTCATTGGCTATGAGGGTGAGAATAGCATTTAAGCAGCTAAAGCACACAGGAAAATCTGAAGCTGAAAGTAGACAAAGAATTACCTGGACCAATTCTAATCCACCAGGTCTTTGTTTTTTCAATCTTCTCATCCCTAATTAGGACCTTCAGTTTGTCTTTTCATCCTACTAATCAGACTTGCCAGTTCTCATGACCGCCTGTGTGGTGTTTCCACAGTAACATGAGAGATGCATGTGAGAGGTCTTGGTGTTTTTGTGGAAAAATAAATGTGATTTAAGAGACATAATATCACTTTACTAACAATTAACTCTTAAGATTTGTAAGATAAATACTGTCCAGCCTTATAAACATGGAATATCTATTGTGTGTTTAATGGATAAAGTAAATATTTCGTTTTTAGACACCATTATTTGACTTTGGTCAAATTGGTTCACCTTGCTTCAGGCCCTGAAATGCAACCTCATATTTCTGAGCTTAATTGAATAAAATTGTTAATTAAGCCACAGTGTGGATATTAATATCCATGTGTCTGGATATTAACATCCATTATTAGGAAGACAAATCCATGGCTTTATTTCAATTTTTACAACAGGCAATGTTGGAGGTGCATTCTTTCTCTTTTTTTTATGGTTGTATGACCAAGGAAAGACCTAGAACTTTTCCCTTTTGGTTCATACTATTTGATACATGTTTTTTTTAGAAAAAAAAAAAACAAACCTAAATGCATACAATCAATATACTGTCTACTTTCTAATTTTCTGCTGCTTGGCAGGCAGACGTATCAAGTCTTATCTCAGTAAGCCACACTATGACTGGATAGTCTTTGTCAATGCAGTGGATCAGTAGCACCATGACATTCCAGGAGGCACAAGATCTAAAAGTCACTCAAATATTTAGGTCCTTGTTTTGTTGGTTTTTGGTTTTGGGGTTTTTTTTTGGTTTTGTTGTTGGGGTTTTTTGGGGGGGTTCTTTGTTTTTTTTTTCCAAGTACATCTTGCAAAAAAATGCACATATTTAGGAAAGAGATCTGAAAGTGATTTCATGGCAAGGTCAGCAGTCAGCCTGCTCAGGAAATACCTTGCTCTGTTTGGCCTCTGGCCTCAGCTCAAACTACTGAGGTCTCAGAACAAAATTGGCTTGCTCTAAGCATCAAAATTCATTTTCCAGTTATGCAAGAGGAAAATGAGCCTGAAATTGAGTCTTCCAGTCTGGTTGAAAGTCAGGATCCTCATTCTCAACCACTGCCTGATTTAAAGGGGAGCTTTATTTGGATTCCCCCAGAGTGGATGGAAAGGATAAAAGGAACAAAGTACAGAATTACATACCTGAGATTCTCTAACTTACATTGCTGTCTCAGATTTGTTCTATTTGAAAGACTGCTCAGCGAGAACCTCTCCTCCTTTTTAAAATTACAGAGATATTATGAAAATTAATAAACTTCATGGACTAAACAGCAAAGTGGTTTCCATGGTTCCTCATCCAACTATGCAGAGATTCTCAGAGTCTTTAGTGCTATTTATGTATATATCAAAGAAAATTGTCTCTTTGACTCCGTAAAGCTCAGCTCTAATAGTGCCTCATTGCAAAACTTGGTATTTTTTTTATTTCTCAAAAGTTTATTTTCTTGCTCTGTTCTCAAAAGTACTGATTTTTTTAGACAAGCTAAGTCAAATTGGAATGATCCTGGTCTGATCCTAATGATATTACAGGAGGAAAAATCTAGATTTCTTCCTCAATTCCAGTATTGTTCCAGCAGTTCACTTTTTTGAGCTAAACTGTCAATCCAAAAAATATAATTTTGTTTAGGATGCTTTCATTGTTCTATCATTTAATGGCTGCCATTGAGAAAATAATTATACTTCTCTTTATTGGTTGTCTTAGCCTGGAGTTGCAGATAGTAAATACAGCACTAAAACTTCTGTGTAAAGCTGATTCCTCACACAGGCCTCTGAACACATGTCCTGCTCTTAAGACTGAGATACACATGGAAGTGAACACATCCATCCTTCAAGTCCAAGCTGGTGTGGAAATCTCCAGTTCCTATTCATTTGACAACTTTAAGTAATGCTGAGAAGCAGTGGTGTAACTATAAACAGACAAAGCTTCCCCTGAATGTCCTGTTGCCAGTCACCCACAGCAGCAATTACAGGGACTCAGGGTTTGGAAACATTTCTATATAATTTTGAAATGTACAGATTAGACCCAGTGGTGCCATCATAAATTATGATTGATTCCACTCAAGTTACAGCAGATAAAACAGATTTAAGTGGGATTAGCCTGTATGCTATTACATTTTCAAACCGTGGTTTTTGGGGAACATTGAAGCAATATAAAAATTCTCATAAGTGATTGTATCAGGAAAGGCAAAATTAAAACTTGCATTCCAATTCTGCCTTGAAGAAGTGTAAAGGAAGGAGTGAATGCCATTCTGAGCTACTACAATCATATGGAAGGAAGTAAAAAAGATATGATGGCAGCCTTCAAATTTTGGCCAAAACATTTCTAGCCTCACCATAGATTCAGCTTCACCTATTTTTTATGGTTTGATTAAGCCTCGCTGACTCTTGCCCCATAATTTTATTTTGCTAATGCCAGGGAGGTCAAGCAGCAAGAGGAGGAGCCCGAGGTGGACGTGTGGGATCTGCTGAAGAACGCGAACCCCAGCGAGTACGAGAAGATCGCGTTCCAGTATGGCATCACCGACCTGCGGGGCATGCTGAAACGCCTGAAGCGCATGCGCAGGGAGGTGAAGAAGAGTGCAGGTGAGGATGGGGCAGAACATCCCTGTGCTCTGAGGTCACACAGAGAGCCATTCCTGTGCTCGTTCTCACACACAGCCCTTCCTGTGCTCATTCTCACACACACAGCCATTCTTGTGCTCTGAGGTCACACACAGCCATTCCTGCGCTCATTCTCTCACACAGCCATTCCTGTGCTCACTGCTCACACACAGACATTCCTGTGCTCTGCTCACACATATTCCTGTGCTCACTGCTCACACACAGCCATTCCTGTGCTCTGTGGTCACACACAGCCATTCCTGTGCTCCTTGCTCACACACAACCATTCCTGTGCTCACTGCTCACACACATTCCTGTGCTCCTTGCTCACACACAGAGCCATTCCTGTGCTCACTGCTCACACACATTCCTGTGCTCCTTGCTCACACACAGAGCCATTCCTGTGCTCTGTGGTCACACACAACCATTCCTGTGCTCTGTGGTCACACACAGCCATTCCTGTGCTCACTGCTCACACACAGCCATTCCTGTGCTCACTGCTCACACACATTCCTGTGCTCACTGCTCACACACAGCCATTCCTGTGCTCCTTGCTCACACACATTCCTGTGCTCCTTGCTCACACACATTCCTGTGCTCAGTGCTCACACACAGAGCCATTCCTGTGCTCATTCTCACACACAGCCATTCCTGTGCTCACACACAACCATTCCTGTGCTCATTCTCACACACATTCCTGTGCTCATTCTCACACACACCCATTTCTGTGCTCCTTGCTCAGTGCTCACACTCAGCCATTCCTGTGGTCATTGCTAACACACAACCCTTTGCCTTAAAACCCAAATATGCCTCACTTCCACACAAAAGAACTTTCACACTACAACTCGTTCCTGCAAGGAGTCAATCAGAAGGAAGCTCTGGTCCATGGTGGAAGCATAAACACTTTATCCAGCTCAGGGCTTACCTAAAGTATCCCTCCCTCTCAGACAAACACTGGTTCCATCTGGAATAATGTGCCCCAGGTGTGTGGAAAGGTGTTACCTGATCAGGCAATACAGAAATTAGACCTTGTGTTACCACCAGTATCTTCTGCTCTAAACAGAGGTCACTCCAAACACAGGCAGTGTCTGCTCTTCATAATGTCGTTTTGCACTTAATCTCCATTGCTCAGAAATCCCAGCTGTACCACAGACCCTTCTCCCTGCACTGGGTGAGGACATTTAGGCCTGTCTGTCCCCATCAACCCTACTGAATAGTATGAGAGGTGTAATTACCTACAGAAATATATATATATATACATGTGTCACCATCGAGCCAGAAATGACACAAATTCACTCAAAGGTTGGTTTGCAGGAGAAGTACATTTAATACGAAAAATGCTGTCTTTTATAGACAGATTCGACACATTCTTTTTGATTGACTAGCTAGCAAAAACATCTTTCTCACAAACGGTCCTAAAGAAGAACAGAAAAAAACAGAGTAGAAAAACATCGCCTGCAGGTGGTGATTAACAAGTTACCATCATTTCTGTGACTCCCTAAAAAGTCTCACAAGTCCACTGTGAGAAAATGAAACCTGTTTTCTCCTCTCTGATCAGGCTGCTGCATCCACATACATGTGTATATAAAATACATGTTATGCCACAGAACATGTTTGTACACATGCATAAATACAATTATACTATTGTGGCATCTGCTTGTTCCTGGGCAGCATTTCAGAACTGAATGCAGTATATACATTTCCTGTGTCACTGGTTTCCAGGAGGTGTCCTTTTTATGTGGGTGAAGTCCTCCACAAATCCAGCTGTAATCCTGATACATCCTCTCTCTTCGCACCATAACATATGTTATGGTACTACACATTCATTTTTATTTATTTATTTCATTTGATGCATCTAGCTGTTCCTATTTTGAATACAGTCACGCTGCAAAGCCTTGAAGAGATGCCAGCTTGATGTTGGTCAGGATAACCAGATGTGCACAGCTTTGTGCTTTTTCTAGTGTTTCTAGATGATTCCATGCAGACCAGTGTAAGAATATCTTGTGATGCATAACATTGTGTGCATGTATTCTGACAGCTTTGATGAGATTTATGCAGTGTCATTTCAGCATCCATGTTCTTGTTTTCTGACCTCATGTTAAAATAACTCTTGACTTCCACAACAGCTTTTGCCAAAGGCCTCGATCCTGCATACCAGGTGGACAAAGGAGGTAAAGTCAGATTCATGGTGGAGCTAGCAGATCCAACAGTGGAGCTCAAGTGGTACAAAAATGGCCAAGAGATACGACCAAGTGCAAAGTAAGTGATTTTAGCTTATGCGTGCAATAAAATGGACACATCTCCTCCCTTGACAAGTTTGTTGCCCAGATCTATCTCTTTGTTCAGGCTGCACCAATTTTACTGCTGAATTTCATGATATGTAAAGAGTATGCAAATGATGTTGTGTTGCTCAGGACCCAGAAAAGTACACTGTAGGCTGAATGTAATATAGATTGTCTCCTTTGTCTCACGACAAAAGTCTTAGAGATCCTCAAAGAAATGTGGTGCTGTTTTCCACTCAGTAGTTTTCAAAAATGAGGAAGCACTGCCAGTAAATAAATCACTTGTCCTTGGTCACAATCTTTCCACAGTAATTTTTTGCTAAGAGCAGAGATCTTACATCATATACTTACCCATAAACCCTAAAAAAAGGGGTGTGAGTTTTGTTTCATCTTTCACTACTCTGTTAACACCCTGAAGTCACAGCCTGCACCATCAGTCATGAGCAACAGGTCTAGTCTACACAAGCTTGTTCACCTGAAAATTGGTTTATTCTCTGGCTTTTCCTAGAAGTGCAGGTGCAGACATTTGAGTACATGCAGAGCAGTGCCTGGAAGCTGATCCCAATATTTTTTGTGGGCACAACCAGCTCTTATAACCCAGTGCAGAAAACCCCATTCTACAGGCAGAGACACCTGGGGAAGATGTGCATAACAGTGTAATGTTTATCCAATGTTTCTCAGCAGCACAAAGTCCTTGACAATTTTTCCACTGTCCAGTAAAAAAAAAAATATAGTAATTAACAAAAGACCTTTCTTACAGAAATGAGGCAGATTTCCTTCATTCTGTTGAAATCAAGAAAGGATTTTGGTTAAAATTCATACTTGACAAAAAAAATGGATGATGGAGCACGTTTTCTTTAGCCCCTGTATCTGGCATGAGCAATCCAGAGGGGCTTTGCAGGCAGCTCTATGGATTCCTCCCCAGCAGGAGGGGCTGGCTTGAGGGCTCCAGTGCATTTCTACCAGAAGCAGCTGTCAGATGCTAACGAGCTTTGGTCATTACAAACCTGGAGCAGATCTAAACTGGTGACATAAAGGTGAAAGGCTCCCTATCCCATTACCAAAACCCCATATCCCATTTCTGATATCTTGTGCCATCTGGCCTACCAATAATATTAACCTCTTAACTTTGGCTATTATTACACTTCACAAAAATGTTGGAATGAGTGATGGTGTCCTCTTACTGGTTATTTTCAGCTTTACTCATCTAGAGTTTCAGACTCCATTTTATTTGCCACCATTTGATTCCAGCTTCTTTTTTCTTTTTTAATTTCTTCTTTTCATATCACCCAGACCTGGGATCTTGGAACAGGCCAAAAGCAGTTCATTGTCACTCTACACCACAGCTCTTTTTTTTTTTTTGATAGAAGTCTATGACAGCTCTGTTGAAACTTGGAAATTGCTTCCAAGGACAATTTGCCCAGTACTGTGTAAACCCCTGTACTTTTGCCTCTAAAAATCCCTACAGCACTTTCACATAAAACAAAAGATGTCCAGAAGTTTTGCTAATGTGTCTTTGCTGCATTCCTGTCCAAACAGATACATTTTTGAGCACAAAGGAAACCAGAGAATTTTGTTCATCAATAACTGCACGATGACAGACGATGCTCGCTATTACGTAACAGCTGGTGATGAGAAATGCTCCACAGAACTGTTTGTGAGAGGTAACTCTGTCAGCTTGGTGCTGTTTCACCTGCCCTAAATTTATGTGGCTTCTTTGGCTGCAACAGAAATTATCAGGGAGGATCTGGTTTGGTATATTTTTGAATTTGCATTAGCAGCTGTTAGGATCACTTGGTATTTCTGTGATCCCTGGCCATTTATTTTTTCCTCATCCTGTAGTTAGCAGCTTAGTGAAAACCCTGAAATGGGGATACACTCAACTTGGTACTGTGCACTGGACTCTGATATTGTCCAAGTGCCCTCAGACAAGGCTTCCTAGAAGCCGGTTTTCATTCCATTTGCACTGATTTGAGGAAATACTCTATCAACATTTATGAATGGGAGGCTGTATCTTCACTCTATTTGCTCCTATGGTGTTGATTATCAAAGCAAAACAGGTATTAATATGAAGAAATGTTGCTTTTATTGAGCAAATTTCCTACTATCATTCTAAAGAGCAATTTTCTGATTTAAGGCAGAAAAGGCTGTACTGATGCTCATATTAGAACTTGAAGATAATACTGCCTTCTATAGCGAGATTTAGAAAATCTCTTTCACTTGGTGTTCCCTCTCAGATCGTAAATCTGTATTTTTTTCTTTCCAAAGATCCTCCAATTTTGGTGACCAAAGGCCTGGAGGACACCAGCACCTATGTTGGGGAACGAGTAGAGCTGAGCTGTGAAGTGTCTGAGGATGATGCAAATGTGAAATGGTGAGACATTCTTTGAACAGCTTCCATGAAAATGAAACCCAGAAGATTTTAATTGTGGGCAAAAATGTGGGCAGCTTTTTCCTAAAACAGTAAAATCGAAAATTGTTAAGAAAATCTCAATAAAACCTTATTAAAAATGTAGCAACACCAAAAACACCCTTATACATTCATGGATGAGTTTGTTCAACCTTCTCTAGTGCCTTACAGTCTTGTAAAGTCTCCTCTGGGAGTTCCAATCTGTGGAAGTCTTACTTGCACAGGACTTCCTTTGGAAAAATAAAAATCCTTTCCTTTCCATTAGGTTTAGAAATGGTGTAGAACTTTCCAACGATCCCAAATCTCGGTATCGGATTAAGGTTGAGGGTAAAAAACACACTTTGGTCATAGAGGAAGCTGCCAAAAATGACACTGCAACCTACTCAGTAATGACAACTGGAGGGCAATCAGAAGCCAAGCTTTCAGTTGACTGTGAGTATCATCCACCTTGCTCTGCAATTCATGTGCCACAGAAATTAACAATTTTCTTGCCTTTCCCTGGGAGTTAAAAAGGAGACTTAACTCCCACAGCAATTTTTTTTTCTGTGGATCTCCAGAATAATGAAGAAAACTTCCCTTTAGAAACTATTTCCAGCAGCAGGCCATGAACTAGCTCTGCTTGTTAACTTCCTGTCACACCATTAATATGGAAAACAAAGCAATCCATCCAAAGGTACAATAGGTCAACAAAGTGAATTTTCAAGGGAAGTATCTGCTTTTCTTCAGTCCTTTAAGGTTTTCACAGGAAAGCCAAACCTAGGCACAAACACAGGACTGTGTAGTCCTCTCAGCTTTGTTTGTGCAGTACTCTTTAAACAAAATTTATCTGGTCCACACTCTGAAGTTATCTTGCATTGCACATAAATGTACATTTTTACTTGTAATACTCATGCTACTCTTGACTATTTTGTACAAATTGGCACCCTGACCAATTCATGGTTTCATTATTAAGTAGGAAATGACCCTCCCATGGTTACTGAGCTCCATCACCTTTCTTTAATGCATCTGCTTCTGTGTTCCTAAGTGAGACCTCTGAAGATATCACTTGCACTAGAAGACCAGACTGTAAGGCTGGGACAGGAAATCCACTTGAAGTGTGAGATATCTGAGAATGTGGAAGGGAAATGGTACAAAAATGGGCAGCTGATTGAAGCCAGTGACCGTGTAAAGCTTTATCACAAAGGAAGGTAAGCCTGTTGTGTATTGACGTGGCTTTTGGTGGAATGACACCATGGAGTTGTGCCAGTATGTGGGTTACCTCACTAAAAATTATCTGCTAATCAAGCCTAACCTCTGTCCCTCAAGACTTACTTATTTCTGTCATTTTAAAAGCCATGTCTCCTTGCTTCCTTTAATCTTATTTTGTAATCTTCTTTTGTGTAATTTGGCTGTGGAGGATAATAATCAAATCCTGGATCTGCCTAAGTTCAAGCTGTTGATTTTTCTTGCCATTACTGTTGCTGTTGGTATGGGATATTAAACAGAAAAATTAAATTATTGTTAGACATTATTAAAATATACAATATACATATATAAAATATATAATTCCTTTTCTCTTTCCTTTCTGTGCCTCTTTTTCTCATAGCTCCTGTTTGTATCAACTCACAAAGATGGTCCAACAAAAGTCAGAATATTCCCACAATGGGATCACCTGCAGATTTTTTCTTAAACAAGCAAATTGCAATTGAATGGCAGCAGCATAGAATCCCTGTGTAGAAGAGATTACACTCCTGTATTTTCCTTGTTCTGTGTTCAAACAAACAATATTAGAATTGGTTACTTTATTTGGTGATTGTCTCAGTAATATTTTGTACAAAGCACAAAGTATTCAATCACCTAAACCACCAATAAGCAACAAGCAAAGGATTTTTAGTCAGTAATTTTACTCACTTTCACAGATCTCCTAAAATTTTCACAGACTTTTCCTTATAGCCTCAACCAGTCTTCAAAAATAATTTACACAGACTTCTTTCTCAATTCTTTTACAGAATCCACAGATTTGTTATACCAGTTTCTGCTGTCGATGATGAGGGTGAATACATGTTTGTGCCAGACGCCTACAACATTAATATTCCATGCAAAGTACATATTGTGGGTAAGTAGACTGCACAGGGACCTGAATAGAACATCTTCCTGTGACATATGGAAACTAAAAGCAGGAGGCTTTCAGAAAAGCAGGGGGCTTGTAAGTGATCCCAGTCCTTCAAACAAAAATAAAACAGGGCATTGACTATTTCCACAGCAATGCCTCACCAGCTTCTAGCTGCAACCAGCAACTTGGAAGTTGAAAGGAGAGCAGTACAAATTACCAAAGTTTTAGAAAACATGTTTTTTAATTGAACCTGAGAAATGTGGGATATTGGTGAGATTTAGAGAGAGCAAACAGGGAAGTGGTACAAGAGGGGAATGACCATTCTTATATTTCTAATATGTTAAAAAAAGATGCAAGAGGATATTAATCAGTTGCTCTCCATACACACAGTGATAATATTGTTTTCAGAAAATGATTGGGGTTTATAAATTTTTAAACTGTAAGGACAGTGAAGGTTGAAGCATGGTTAAATGTGCCATAATAAAAAGCCCACAGCTGAAATTCTCAAGAGCCACTTAGAGGAAACTGCTTTCAGAAGTTACCTAAATACACATAATTCTGCCTCAGGGAAACAGTTGTGTGTTTTTTCATATGGTCTTTTTATTCCAAACTGTCTATGGTGCCATGATTTCTTTTTCATCAGGAAGCTATTTCCTTAAGCAGATTTTTCTTCACAACTTTTCTTTAAAACAAAACCCAGTTGCTTAAAAATACCAAGAAAATAAAACACAGAGCGTGTTTCTGTGTGTTGCAGACCTGTCTCAGGTCACTGAGCTCTCAGAACAGCAGTTGCTTGTCTAACTTGGACAATCTCTCCTTTTTCAGATCCTCCTAAACTTCACCTGGATGGTCTTGGGGAAAACAACACTGTGACAGTCGTGGCAGGAAACAAACTACGACTCGAGATCCCCATCACTGGTGAACCACCTCCAAAAGTCTTTTGGAGTAGAGGGGACAAGGTACATTGTCACTGTAGATATTTCTTTAGCTTTACCAGGAGCCTTTTCCTTCAAAAAAATAATCTTCAGCATTTTGAAGAAATTTTTTTAATGGCAGAAAATAAGGGGGAGATGCCTTGTATTTAAAAATGCTCATTGCTCAAAAAAGAAGGGTAAAACATTCTAAAAATGTAAAACAAGGTAAATATTATTTATCTTTTGGGTCTTTCTAAGGAAAGCCTGAAATTAATAAGGAAAAAAAAAATGAGTTTGCTATAAAGTATAGAAGAGGAGAATGATATATTGGATGTAGAAGAAAAGTTGTGAAAATTTACCAAATGGCTGCTTCTATACATTTAATGCCCAGAATGGCTGCCAGGTTTTGGAAGGAAAATGAATGATAAATTCTAATGGAGTTCAAGTCTCAAATGAAACAATAGACTGAGAAACTGGAGTCTTGCATCTGGTGTCTTAAAGCAAAACTTTTGCTTAGATCAGTCTCTGGCTGTGTAAATACCAAAATAATTGTTTTTCACATTTAAATATTCATTGTGCAATGTAGAAGCTGGAACATTTTACCACTAGTGCATTCATCAAACCTATCTGGTCCAATTTGTAACCACTATTTTTCAAATATTAATTGCAGTGTCACCACTATGGTCCTGTCCAAACAGGGAATTACTCCAGGAGAGCTCCTCCTCCAAAATATGAGACAGCATTTGAAATCTGTGAGGAGAAACTACTGACCATTACAATCACTCTCACCTTTAAAGTGAATTACTTCCTTTTGATCTGACTTTTGGAAGAATCAGCTATTCTTTTTCCATCAAATTAACGATATGTGGTGTTGGCAAAAGTGTGCTCTACCTAGAAGGAGAAGCCTAGTGCCTAATCCTTTGTGATGCAATGAGTAGTAAACAGTTACCATGTTTTACTTATTTTAGTTATTTTCTCATTTTTTTCATCATTAGGTGACTAAAATGCTGAGGTTTAGTGTGGTTTTTCTTACAGTTGCTTTAACATTTTTGTTGAAGTGACCTGCACTACTTTCGAATTTTGATTTTTGAGTATTTTGACTCTCAAATCCAGACAATATGACTTTTCCCTCTGCTCTCTGTGGTTCCTAGATGGTCACAGACAGTGGAAGAATCCGGGCAGAATCCTACCCAGACAGCAGCTGCCTGGTCATTGATGCAGCTGAGAGGGAGGATTCAGGTCCTTTCAGAATCACCTTAAAGAATGAGGCTGGAGAGGACACAGCTCTGATCAACATCAAAGTGGTTGGTAAGTCCTGTGAAACAGAGCCCATGAGCCACGTCACTGGGTAGAGTGTCACAGACATCTTTTATGGAAAATCCTTTCCTCAGGATTTTTCCTCTGGGGACATTGAGAGGCTTCAGGAACAAAATGTAAACAATGATTATCTGCTGCTGTGGAATGCAACAGGTGCATCTGTGATTGGTCTCATGTGGTTGTTTCTAATTAATGGCCAATCACAGTCAGCTGGCTCAGACAGAGAGCCAAGCCACAAACCTTTATCATTCTTTGCTGTTGTACTCAAAGCTACCCTTCTGATTAAATCTTTTCTTCTATTCTTTTAGAATAGTTTTAATATAATATATATATCATAAAATAATAAATCAAGCTTTCTGAAACATGGAGTCAGATCCTTGTCTCTTCCCTCAACCTAAGAGCCTCTGAACACTGTCACAGTAGAGTCTCAGGAAACTTCCATTTTCCTATGTTTCCCCATTTTCTGGTGTGGAATTGGGTGTTACTGAAGGGAGTAAGAGCTTGGAAGGGATTTAAGTAGGAGTTTATTGCTGCTTTGATAGGGGCCAGACTCCTCTGATTGCCTCAGGCTGTCCTGATCACTCCTGGCTCTCCCCTCTCCCTGGGCTGTGGGCTCTGTCTTGGCACAGGCCCTCCAGAGCCTCTCAAGTGTCTCGACCATGCAGACACCTTGGCATTCATCCATTCCTAACCACCAGCCAGGATCCACTAAATTTATTTTCCCCCCGCTCTCTCTCCTCATTAGGAATTCCTTTTGCACCTCAACAACTATTTTGATTTGTTTCTTATTTGACATTTTTAATTTCAACCTATGCAAAAAGAAGAAAGATTTTTTTTTTTAATAATATCTACTTTGTTTTCAACAGATGTTCCTGATCCTCCTCAGGCACCAAATGTGACTGAGGTGGGTGAAGACTGGTGTATTATGACCTGGGAACCTCCAGCAAATGATGGTGGATCACCCATTTTAGGTAGATACTTTTTTTTTTTTTGGTGATGACTCTCTAATACAGACAAAAGAAGCAAACACCAAATAGTGGATGCAGCAGGATCAGAGTTTAGCCCAGGCCCTGGAAAGTGGTGCTGGGAATATCCAGTAGCTAGAATGTTCTACCTATTCTGACTTTATCAAATTCCTGTTTTTCTAATGCTTTGAGATTTGTCATTTTCTATCTTGTTACATTATCATGTCCCCTAGTTGAAAGACAACCTCTTATAAAACCAAACTTGGCATTGCTATTAGCCTGTTTGTGTTAGAAGGAAATTTCAGAATTTACTGAGTAAAATGGAATATCTTTTAATAAATACACCAAACCAAGAAGAAAGACAGAGGGACCCAGAGGTCAGTAGGACCAGGCCCTTTTTTCACTCTGAACTAAACACAGCAGCCTTCTAAGTCCAAAAAAAGCTCATATATGGCTATGAAAGCAAATAGGTGACTCTCAGATAGCTTGCAATGAGGAAAATTATCACTCTGAAGCTAGGAGGGAATATTGAGGCTTATCCAGTTAAAAAATTGTCACTGGGCAGTCAAAAATAGACCTTTTATTACTGACCTTTGTGCCACTTCACTTATGATAAAATCTTTTCTGGTCAAAAGGATATTTCATTGAGAGGAAAAAGAAACAAAGCTCCAGGTGGATGAGGCTGAATTTTGAACTGTGCAAGGAAACAACTTTTGAGCCGAAGAAAATGATTGAAGGTGTTGCTTATGAGGTCCGTGTGTTTGCTGTCAATGCCATTGGCATGTCCAAGCCAAGCATGCCCTCCAAGTCCTTCGTTCCTTTAGGTAAGTAAACAAAAGCAGAGATAGGTATGCATTTAGAAAATAACCATTCATATGTTATTAAAATCACCTAATTATATATTTTTTTTGTTGGTGTGACAGCTAGAAGGCTTTGTCATTCCCACAGTGACAGGCTAACTCAGTGGGCTTTTCATATAAAGAAACAGATTTTCAAACTGTGGTGACAACCACAAGTGTCATGGACATATTTTATGAAAAATCTTTTGGCTAGGATACTTTTCTCCTGAGAAGCTGAGAGGCATCAGAAATAAAATGTAAACAATGATAATCTGCTGCTGTGGAATGCAACAGGTGGATCTGTGATTGGTCTCATGTGATTGTTTCTAATTAATGGCCAATCACAGTCCAGCTGTCTCAAACTCTTGTCAGTTACAAGATTTTATCATCCCATTCTTTTCTATTCCTTGCTAGCCTTCTGATTAAATCCTTTCTTCTATTCTTTTAGTATAGTTTTAATATAATATATATAATAAAATAATAAATCAGCCTTCTGAAACATGGAGTCAAGATTCTCATCTCTTCCCTCATCCTGGGACCCCTGCAAACACCACCACACCACAAGCCCTGTAAAAGAAAGCTATCCTGTTCTATAGATCAGCAAAGGTTCCCCCCTTGCTCAGCAGCACCCCCAGAATGAAAAGGAGGAGGAAGGAGGGGGCTGTTACAGCTCCAGCATTCTCCCCTCTTGCCAGAATGCACTTGCTGAGGTGGAATACACTGCTCCCAACTTGAATACGCTGCTCCCAACTTGAATACACTGCTCCCAACTTGAATACACTGCTCCCAACTTGAATACGCTGCTCCCAACTTGAATACGCTGCTCCCAACTTCTCTGCTCTACCAGCCACAGCTGCTTGTTCTTCTCTCTCCTCAGCAGGAGGAATTTATCTCTGGGTCAGGCTGTGAGCATATAAGGGATGTGAGCATATATGGGATCATCCCTGGCATGTGTTCCCAATTAGGACCACAGTAGGAGTGTGGTCCTAATTGGGGAACACATGCCAAGGATGATGGATGTCACCCTGATTTTTAGGATTTTCTAAGCTTTCTGATGTTTACATTCTTGTGACAAACCTTCTCACACACTTTCTGTAAATAACTTATTGTTTTGCATTCTTTTATGGAGGAGGAGAAATTTGATAGAGTGTTGGTTTGACCAGTGTCATTGGAGAGGTGGCACTTTCACCTTCCAATCCACTGTCACTTTTAGAAAACTATAAATGTTGGAGTCAGATAATAAACTTCCCTTTTTCCTTCACCTTGAGAGCAGCAGTGTGTGCTGTTGCTTGGGTTGTTCCGTGTCCTATAGTGACAGATGGGAAATCATCCTGGTAGGCAGGATAGCCTGTCACCTGCGATGCTAAACCAGAGAAACACAGACCATAAACATAAACCTTTCACGGTAACACAGTGTTCTGCCTTCTCCCTGCTTGCTGCAGCTGTCACCAGCCCCCCAACCATGCTGGCAGTGGACAGTGTGACCGACACCTCAGTGACAATGAAGTGGAGGCCCCCGGACCAGATCGGGGCTGCGGGGCTGGACGGCTACGTGGTGGAATACTGCTTTGAAGGAAGTAAGTGACAGCACCCGGGGTGCCTGACCCACAGGGAACGTGGGTGAGACTGTCTCCATTTTTTCTCTACAGGTATCAGGTGCTCTGGCTGTCAGGCAGAGACTAATCAGGCAGAAAACCTCAAGGAGCAGGGTTTTGGTCAGGCTTCCTTTGGTTTGTATTCCAGATGCCACCCCCTGATTGTGGTTCAACATATCTTACTCTTGATTTGAAATCCAAATCAAAAGCCATGTAATCTGTTGTAATGTGCCATGTACCTTGCTAATAACTCCCCTCTTTCAGGTGCTAAATGAGAGTTAGGGCAGTGAAGAGTTCATTGGTGGATGAAGGCATAGGAAATAATGACTACAAATATAAAATTATGAAAATATGTTCAGATTGGCTGTGTTTTAGGGACAGGAGGTCCCTAATACCCAGGTGTGGTAATCCCTATGTTGACATATTAATAACTTCAAGTGCCAGTTGCCAACACTGAGAACAGCCTCTCCAATAGTTCCTGCAGAAGTCATCTAGGCATGCAAAGTCTAGATATTTAATTTCTCCAATGCTTCAGTGCAGTCTTGGGGATCTTTAGCTGTATCAGTCTAAGACAAAAATATATAAGAACTGAAGGAGGAAGATAAAGAGAGTGAATTAACTTTTGTGAGTAAAATAGGAAGGAACAGGGAAATATAAATGATATTTTACAGCTAAGAATCTTTTGGGGATCAAGCAGCAGAAACTTAGTATTTCTCCAGCAGATTTTCTTCTGAAACGGCATCAAATTAAGTCTATTTTCAAAAAGTTAAATCCACCAGCACCCGGGTAAGTATCAAATAGCCTCTGTGGACCAACACCACCAACTGCAGCAATGTTGTGGATGTGGATGAAGGGCACACAGTTATCTTCATCTCCACTGTTGCTTTTAACTGTGCTGAAAATCAAGTGAGGGGTTGAACACCTTTTCTCACAGAGGCATTTCTTTCAATGGAAGCTCTCCATGAATACAGTCCATAGCCTGGAGACAAGAGATAGAGGACAGAACGTGTCATTGATGCTGTCACATGTTTCAGATTCAGAAAATCCAGGAGAACAGTAGGTCATAAACGTGGCCAGGTGCCACGGCATCAAAGTACACTCAGCCCTCTCCCAGGCAAAGGGGAGAGGCTGTGAAGATACACTCCTGGCTTTTCTCAGGAGCACTCAGCATCTGGTAGTGTTGAGATGAATGTCTTTAAGGAGCAGGACTGCAAGGAGCTCCGAGACCCGGAGGAGAGTACCTGAAGGCAGACACAGCTGGAATGGTAGGAAGGGTTTTCCTTGTATTTTGGGAGGGAGCTGTGGGAACAGCTCAGAGTGAGTCAGCATGCAGTCTTCCATCAAGGCATAGTGTTCTGACTCTGTTTCCACTGCACAGCCCAGGTGTAGGGGATCATTAAGGGGACTGTCAACGTGAGGATTTCAGTGTATGCTCTATATTATGCTCTGTGTAGAGTTGGGTAGAATGGAAGGGAAAAGTTAAAGGTGCTTGACATTAGAGTATGTGATATCCAAATCAAGTGATAAGAGAGGATGAGAAGTACAGACAGGTTAATTCAAAGTATGGCTTTGAAAAGGAATCTTCTACATCTGTCTTTAAAGGGCTGTTAGACAGAAGAACATTGCATACCTGTTAAATGGAACAAATTCTTTACTTTTTTTTCCAGATAGGTTTTAAACACATGAAGATACAACAAAATGGCAGCCAAGTCTGTCATTTTACTGTTACCCACCTCAGTTAAAATACAATGGGTACAATGTATTTTACATAGTTTTGAGTGTTTATGTATATCTATATATACCTCCTATATATGCATATACATCTATATATACACAATTGACATTATGTATATATGTTATGAAAATGCTTAGGAAGAAGCAAGATAAGTAGAAAACGCCAATTTTAAAATGCCAATTTTAAAATACCAATTTTAAAATATCAATTTTAAAAGTCATGTTATTGGATTATTCATTTTTTTCTCTCTGTTCACTTGTTTTTTTCCTTTCTTGCAATATCTTAGTGCCTCTTTTTTCTCAGCCCTGTTCTGCCTCAAACTAATTTTTTCTGTAATGTTTAATAACTCTTTTTAATTTCAAGATACTTTTTATGACTGTCTATATTCATTCTGCTTCTTTTTTCTCCTAGTTATCTGTCTGTAAACTCATCTGTATTTACATTCTCCATTCTTTCATTGTTGTCACTGAATTAGTTTTCAAGAGGGCTTTTTAGAGTCTTCCTTAACATAGCAATCATTAGGAGGAATCACAAGCTGACAGTAGGAGGATAATATATATATATATATAAAGATAATTTAGAAGAATAATGTATCATAAACATTGGTTTGGCTTTGCAAAACTGGTATTTCCCTTTTAGTCAGAACCACATAACTTGATCAACATGGTGGATTCTTGGAGTTAACTATGTACACTCCATGCATATTACTGAAGTACTGGATTCTCATCATGAGTATCCTGACCCAGCATTGCACAGGTGTGAATAGCATGAATATAGAATATATATGTGTATATATGGAGAGAGAGAGCTCCCCAGATGGTTTTATAGCCAGTAAATAAGTACTTCAGAGACTTTCTGTTGGCTGAGACCTCTGCCAGTGTACTCATCCAGGACCAGGCAAAAATACTAGAATAATATTGTTATTATCCTGAAAATAGCCAGCTCCAGGATTACAGGAAATCCAGGACAGTGATAACTTTGTTCAGGAAATAAAGCCTTAGGGTTTACATCATATCTGTCATCATCCATGGGTCTGGTCTTCTTTAATCTTCTATCTATGTTACCTTTAGCTAAATGTGTTCTCTTCCTCTGTTTCCTCCAAGTTTTTTTCCAAGACCTCTTTTTTTCTGTCTCTCTTACTCAGAATTCATCTCTGATTTCCTTATCCCTTCTACGATGTGTTTTCTTCTCCTTCTACACTTTCTCTCATCATCAGTTTGTTTCATTTCTTTCTTCCAAGTGTTCCTTTCGTCTCTTTCCTTTCATATTTCTAGGGCTACTCTGGGGCCCAAAAAACTCATAGAACTTTATATCCTCCTCTTCTTTCATCCTTTATCTTTCCTGTGGGCATCACATATAACTGTTCTGTGATCTGGATGCCCTCTTTCCATCTCTTTTCTCCCTAAATGTGGGTTCTCTAAATCTGTAAAGCCCAGCATCTATCTTTGCATACTTACTAACAGGAATTGCTAACCACTGACAAAATGCTCCATCTGTGTGAAAGTGGGTGTCTCTGATTAATTTTAAAGATGGATTCTCTCAAGGTATATCGACAGATCAGTCTGAGGAATTGGGGGAGCCACCTTTTAACCTGGAAGGTACAGTATTCCACAAAGGATATAAGTCTTCTTTAATAAAAGAAAATCTCTCTTCATAAATTAAAGATAAATTCCTGATGGTGAATTTTAGGGGTAACAGTCTATGGAATTTTCTGTAGCATAGGTGTAAGGGGAGGGGGAGATACTTGGGAAGCAAGCATTGATTGAAATCCTTTTCTGCTTGAAGCTTGAAGGAAAAGTTAATTCCTAAAAGCAAGACAGTTATGAAAATGTGCCACAGCACTACGCTCTAGTTCTGCAGGGCTCTCAGTTGATAACAGTTCTCTGTCTTCTGTGCCCATTTCACAGTGCTAGCTTTACATGGTGTGGGAGGTATTGATCCTGACTTGCTGGATCAGAAACCTGGCTCCTGTGCCCAGCAGTGTCAGGGCAGTCTGTGCTGGGAGGACAGGGTGGATAACAAAGTATGGCTTGTAATGGAAGCTGTTTTAAAGACTGTACTCTTATCATCATTCCATTAATTTCATGTGACCACCTGCGGGCAGGATTGAAAATCCCAGAATGCTGTAAATATGTGAATAATTCTGACACAGCCTTCCTTTTTTTAAGGGCATGAGGAGAGATGGCATTTCATTGCAATGTGTAAATACCCTGTGTTTCTTTTATTTCCCAGTTATACTTTCAAGGGTACTCAGTACTGGTTGAAATTAATTACAAAACCCATTTCTCTTCAAGGAAGCTGTTAAAGCAATGATGAGTGCTTTGGCAAATACATTCTTTTTCCCCCTTGTTTTATTCTAGCTGAATTTAAAAATCTAACCATTTTTCTCTCTGGTACACTTAAATTATAACCATATTCTAATAAGATTTACATAATTATATAAATATATACAAATATATGAATATACAATTACATAATCAGCAGAAAGTCTTTAGGGTTTGAAACATTCTTCCTATGTATTAAAATGAAACTACATTGTGTTACAGCACAATAAGAAAAACAAAATAGAAAAACAAAACCACAAGTTTATTACTGTCCTGTAATTTTCTTTGTCCATGCTGTGGATGTATTTATAATTCCCTGTTTTTTGGATTTCTCCTCCTCCCCTCACTTCCCTAAACCAGCTGATGAATGGATCGTGGCTAACCCAGAGCTGACAGACAAAACAAAGTTCACCATCAATGGCCTTCCAACTGGCTCGAAAATCCTTGTGAGAGTAAAAGCTGTGAATGCTGCTGGTGAAAGTGAGCCCAAGTACCACCCACAGCCTATTTTAGTCAAGGAAGTGATAGGTAAGATCCTGCTGCCTACACTTGCCCACAAATACACCCTGTTTCCATACTAATATCTGTGGTTTTTAAAGGCTGATATTTACTTATTATTGTTAACTGATTATATGGCCTTACAAAGCCATTGTATAGTGGCTAGAAATCATGAAACCATTTTTGAATAATTCATAATTTTGTTTAATTTCTGAGCTTTTATTTCTCAGTTTTTCAGGGCATTTCTTTTCTGCAGAACTTGATCCTGATGGTACTTTTTTTAAGTTCCTCTAAGCTTCCCTCTTGTAATACCATCATTGAATTTGGTGTTATAAAAGCTGATTGTGTCCTGAATGCAACACTGGGGGACCAAGAAATTTAAGACACTTCATTCATTAGTCACTTCTGGGAATTTTAGACCACACTGTCTAATTTTTATACTGATGCACACCAGTGCTGCCTTGGTTACAAAGGAAGATAAGTGCTTAACACAAGCTTTTGTTTCGTTCAGAACCTCCAAAGATTCGTCTACCAAGACACTTAAAACAAACCTATACTCGAAGAGTTGGAGAAACTGTGAATCTTGTTATTCCTTTCCAGGTAAGAACTAAAAATACTGACAGAAAAATTATTTTTACCTTTTTTTGCCTTTGTTTTTTTTTTATACTTATGCTTTTTAACCGATTTCTCTGTAACTTTGGCCAGTCAGGTACCTCAAGCACATGTGGAAGTACAGAGGTGTTTGGTTTTTTGTTGAACTAAAATTTTTGGTTCAACATCTCAAATAAATAATGTTCAACCAAGTAATGAATTGGGTAACTCAGACTGATTGGTCATCTGTCATCCAAAGGACACTTACAAATCTTCACAGTAGATTTTGCACAAGAGACAATTGCACAATGCAAAGGGGCTGCACTAGAAGTAGTTAAATATGGGTATCAAGAGTGGAACAGTAGCATTTAATAACTTCCTTGTCATGAGAGAGGAAAAGTGAGGGGAAGAGCAGGCAGACTGCAGCTGTTAAATCCTTGAGGTCACAACTGTAAATGATTATTTCTAAAACATGTAACCAGTTTTCCCACAGCATCATGCTAACCTTCATTCCCATACCTTTTAAACAGCACCAGCCTCTCTCCTTGCAAAGTCTGTCTTCTGAATAAAAGAATTATGGCAGAACTCCGTTCTATTTCATGTCTGCACATTTTAAGACACTGGATGGGCATAACTCTGCTTCGCAGAGGCTGTTAAAAGCCTCATAAATGCCTGATCAGCAATACACTGCAAGATATATTTTTCTTGAGAAATTAAAGGAATATTTTATGGTTATTCTCTAAGATAAAGTGTTCAAAATGGTGTGAGATTACCCTTTTCAGACAGCACCTGCAAACTGTTTGCCTGTGGAAGGCAAATTCCACAGCAGAGCATGTGAAATTCAGTCTACTTTAAGTGCCTGTATTGGGCACTTAGACACACAAAAAATGGCACACAAAAGAGATCAATCCAGCCTTCCTAGCAGCTATTACAACTTCCTTTGTAATGAAAGAAGCGAGTTTAGGATCCCTGGAGGTTGAATCTATTACTTTCCTCTTTCACTGGCAATGTAGAGAATGTAAGCATTTCCAGAGAGTGAAATACTTTGTTCTGTACTTTCTGTGGGTTATTTTTCTCTCCTTTTCTTTCAGAAAACTGGAAATTATTTGTCAATTTAACCAGAGAGATAATTGTTCAATATAGTGAGAATTTGCAAATATTTTCAGTCTTCTGAGCAAAAAGAAAAAAAAAAAAAGGAGAGAAAGTTACATTTTAGGTGAATTGGTATGATTGCATCTGTAAATGGCGTATAATTTTAAAAATAATTCTGTTTCTTTCAGTGTCACAGGCATCTTTTATGAAAAATCCTTTCCTTAGGATTTTTCCTCCTGAGAAGCTGGGAAGCCTCAGAAACAAAATGTAAACAATGATTATCTGCTGCTGTGGAATGCAACAGATGCATCTGTGATTGGTCTCATGTGGTTGTTTCTAATTAATGGCCAATCACAGTCAGCTGGCTCTGACAGAGAGTCCAAGCCACAAGCCTTTGTTATCATTCTCTCTTTTTCTATTCTTAGCTAGCCTTCTGAGGAAATCCTTTCTTCTAATCTTTTAGTATAGTTTTAATATAATATATATCATAAAATAATAAATCAAGCCTTCTGAAACATGGAGTCAGATCCTCGTCTCTTCCCTCATCCTCAGACCCCTGTGAACACTGTCACATTTCAGGACAGCTTTTACTTCCTGTTTGGGAAAAAAAAAAAAAGGGAAATAAACCCGTTTCCTTCTCTTCCCTTTTCTCTCCAAACAAAAATCATACCAAAATTGTTTCCTGGCTCCTTGCAGGGAAAACCAAGGGCGAAAGTATCGTGGGAGAAGAACGGTTCTCCGATTGACAAGAACGACATCAACATCCGTAACACGGAGCACGACACCATCATCTTCATCAGGAAGGCAGAGCGGGGCCACTCCGGAGAGTACGACATGAAAGTGGAGGTGGAGAACCTGGTGGACAAAGCCACCATAGACATTCAGATCGTTGGTATGTTTGGAGAAACGGAAATGGATCCAGCTGTTCCAAGGCCACAGGAAAATGGGAATGCTGCCATCTTTCTTGGCAGTGATTCCTCTCCATGTTCTATTATTTGGCTGTAGGTTTGGGGTCTCTCAGGAAATCTGCATACACCATAGGATTGTTGGAATGTGTCAGTCTCTTGTTTTTCTCTGTTTAGCCCCTCAGGTTCTTGTCCATCCAGGATGCAAGATTTTTCCTGTTGAGTGCTACCCACAGACAGTGATGGTATCAAATTCATAATCAAATTCATAGTAAATTTGTCACAAATGCACTGTGGAAGAAATCCTAAATGCTGAAAGTAGGAAAGGCTGGCAAGAAAACACATTTATTTTTCATTTTTACCATCCATTCCTTTACATAATAGGCAAAACTGGCAGCAAAACTTTCTTAAATTTATTGTAATTCTGACATGCCTTCACTTTGGAAAGTTTTATTTTGCAACTACATCTTTCTTTTGACTTTTTTTTTTGAAAGAAAGACAGAGAAATCAAACTAATGGGAAGATGTGAGTGGGAAAAAGATAGAGAAAGCAAACAGTAGAATGTCTCATATTTGTGTTGCAGATCGCCCAGGCCCACCAGAGGTTGTGACTATTGAGGATGTCTGGGGAGAGAATGTGAATTTATCATGGAAGCCACCAAAAGATGATGGCAATGCTGCCATTACTGGGTACACTATTCAAAAAGCAGATAAGAAGAGTATGGTAAGTAATAAGGAGATGTTTAAAAGCTGGATGTACTAATGAATCGTCCCTTTTAAAAACAAAAAGCTTTACATGCTTAAAAGGATGTGGGTCGACAAAGCACTGATTTATTAGCATTTGAAAAATCTCTACAGGACCCTCTAAAAATCTCTAAAACTCTAAAAATCTCTTCATCACTAGGAGTGGAAATATTTTCAAATTATTCCAAAGAGGAGGACTAAAAATGGGAAGGAGAAAAGTAATTCTGCATTTTTCCTTTGCCTCAGGAGAGAAAACAAAACCTTAAAATATTAATTCTGAATCTTGTAGGCTGCTACCAGAACCAAAGTGTTCCATTGCTGCTGTTTTCAAACCTGCAATGTCACACTGTGTAAGTCACTGCCACTCCTTTACTACCCATGGCAAAACAGTTCATAGGTACTTCTGTAACCACTCTGAGATGTACAGATGAAAAGTGCAATACAGAAATATTTATTATTTTCATTAAACTAACAAAAATTTTAACAAAAAAATAATTTAAACTGTACAACACTTTCTTAAAAGACAGTAGTCAGATTCTCAGATTTCCAGTGTTTAAATTTGCAGTAAATGTTAAATCTAGGGCAATATTTAGGGACCTGCCTTCTCCAAGAAAATCTTTTGCTGTCCTCTCTTATCCCCCACATTAATATGTTGATCTCTATCATTGTCTGATCAATTCATTCTTCCTATGCCTCTATTTTCCTTCCCATCCTTCTCTTTCTCCTTCTCTTGAGACTGTAAGAAGATATGATCTCTGGTACAGCGATCAGAACAATTTCCCCTCTAAATAACTGTGACAAGGACAAAGTAACAACAGCAAGCAGCATCTAGGGTTCAGTGGGAAATGGATCATTCAGGTCACTTTCCTCACTGTATCTGTGGTGGTGCATTTTGCAATTCTAGCACAGCTGGTCTTCTACAAAAAAAACTGTTTTCCCAAAGGAACTTTGGCTCTTAATGTTGACCAAATATGAATGCAAACTGTGTACAGGGAACTCAGCACAAGTTCAGCTTTAGAAAAGCAAGAAAAATATTTAGGGCAGAGTAAAGAAAAGCAAAAACATTGCTGTGGTCAAATTGCACTTTATATTAATTGCATTTTTAGCATTAACCTCCTTCAGCTCAGATTGTTGTTTAGGTACTGTGTAATAGGACAGAATTCACACGTCCTGTTACTGCTGCAAGACTAAAGCACTAAAACCCACTTGCCCATCTTGGCCTTTAGATATCAGAGGACCACAAGCACAGAAGAACATTTCTCATGAGCACTCAGCCTGTGACAGAGAGGGCAGATTAGTGCAGTGGCCTCTGTGATTGCATATTACTGCAGAACAGCACACGCTTCTGCCTTCCCCAAGGGAATGCAGTTTTGTTATCTGCAACTGTACTTTCTCTGTCAGCAGTGTGGATCAAGAATGAGGGAACCTGCCTTGCTCACACAACACAACCTTTGTAAGCCTGCAGTTCCTAAAATGAGCCCTTCCAGCTGCCAGTGCAACAATTCAGCACGGTTTGGCCTTGACTGCTCAGCAGAGAGCTCTGCTGCACTGTCATCATCACTCATTTCACTATTAATTATTAATTACTGTTAGCTGCATTCTCTTCAAAGAAGAACCTGCTCCCAGAAGCTTGGTGATCCTTCCAGTGGATGTCTGGGTGATGCAGGGTGCTGGGGCATGTACTGCACTAAATAGTTTATTTAGTTGTTGTTTTGCACTGGGTTATTAGAGATTTGCACAGAGTAGTCTTTATATTGAATAGTTTTTGTTATATCATGTGGTTTGCTATTCCCCTCTCCCATCACATGGTCTCTCCCTGACCTGCCCCTCTGCCCAATACCTCATGGTGATCTATTCCCTGGTCAGTCCCTCCCCTCACGTCTCCTTACTCTGGTCCCCATCCTCTGCCCCCCATTCCCCCAGGTACAAAACCCCCTAAAGGCAGCTGGCTGGTCTCTTCCCATGCTGGTTTTTTCATCTGGTGGTTCTCAAGTCAATAAATAGAGGACATTCATTCCCACGTGGAGAAGAGTGCTTCCAGTCTTTTGCTTTTGTCTATGTAAGATCGTGTGGGCTAATGTCCACATCTAGCAGGATTGGACCCTAACAGCCCAGCCAGACATGGTCTTATAGATGGCACCCAACATGGGGGAGAGCTGACCCTGTGTGTCTGTGTGTCTGTCCTTTCAGGAGTGGTTCACCGTGATCGAGCACTACCACCGCACCAGTGCCACCATCAATGAGCTGGTCATAGGCAACGAGTACTACTTCAGGGTCTTTGCCGAGAACATGTGCGGCCTCAGCGAGGATGCAACCATGACCAAAGAGAGTGCTCTGATTGCCAAGGATGGTTGGTTAATTATCCATACCTCATCAAGGGGGAGGGGGGGTCAGAGGCTGGAAAGTGGCTCGAGGTAAAGGCCGTGTCTCTAAAATGTTCAGAGACACTCCCAGCCACAAGGCCAGGTCCAACAGCAAGGCCATTTCCTATTTAGACCTCCTGGTTTGTCCACATAGCTCATAGTCACTGTTTTTAATCAGGAGTGGGACACTTCTCCCATGATCTGACATTTTCTATGGTCTTGGATCTCAGACTTACCACATGCCCACTGGCACATATGCATTGATAAGAGCTGGAGAGGAGTAAAGCTGCTGCTCTGTTAGAAGCAGTGGGTCACTGCCCTCCTCTGGAGACTTGGCATCAGCTGTGTAGGCACTCCCTCCACTTCAGGCAGGATGCAACAGAAAAGCATAGCCCCTGCTTCACATCTCTTGAAGGTGGGGCTAGGCAAAATCTGGTTCTGCAGTCAAAATCCTGACATTTCAGATGTCAATTGGAAATGGCACTGTAACCTTAAAAATCCCAAAACTTTCCTAGGGAAAAGAAATTCTAAAAACAATAGCTCACAGGATGAAAATCAAAGCAGTTTGCCTGAAAGGAAGAACACATGACTGCCATGATGCAGAGGACAGACACAAACCTGTACAACCCAGCTAGGCTGAAGACTCTGGAGTCATGAACAAGAGAATGGCTCTAGGAATTCTTTTTCAGCACTGCTTTACTTGCCCTTCTCATGAGAGCAAGTATCAGGCCTAAGCTGCACGGAAGTCAGTATGACAGCTTGGTTCAGCTTTCAGTGAAGCAAAGCTGCATAATGATACCTGTGCACAGGAATAGATGTCTGTCTGTCCAGCCACTTTAAATGCCAGCTGAATGTGTGGCTGAAGAGGATTTATTGGTGGTGATCTCCATTGCAGAGTGGAGATAAACTGGCAGTGAGAAAATACATTTTACCACCATGTTTTCCTTGTTCAGACCCTGCATCCATTCACTGTAGTGTCAGCACACTGTTTGAAGCAGAAAGAAAAATAGATTTTCAGACATAGGGACAGTTTATAATCAGAACAAACCACAAAAAATAATTGGCAGCAGAGTGAACAAGACTTGGCAAAGACAGGCATCCTGCAGTATATGGAGGATGTATATACAGAGGATCCATCCTGCTCTCTAGCATGCAGGGCATGCAGGCACAGACACAGAATGAACCTGTATTGCTTTGTGTACCACCTGCACAGGAAACAGAGACACTCTCAGACATCAATGCCATAGCATAATCAGGGAGGTGAGTAGCATAATAGCATAATCTGCTGGAGGTGTGCAGACCCACCTCCAGCCTCCCCTGCTAGTGCAGCCACTGGAGTCACGTTGTACCTAAAGCAGATCAGAACTGACTCTCTGTAGCCATTTAATGCACTTGGGTGTTTAACCACCTGCCAAGGCTCTTTATATGAATGTTTAATTTTCCCTTCACAGGTAAAGTGTACAAATACCCAGTGTACGATGACTTTGACTTCAGTGAGCGGCCGCTGTTCACGCAGCCCCTGGTGAACACGTTTGCTGTCGCTGGCTACAACGCCACCCTGAACTGCAGCGTCAGGGGCAACCCCAAGGTACAGCACAGCCCTGACAGCAGCACTGAAAACACCAGAGAGTTTAACCTCACAGGGAAAATTACATGCAACTTTTACCATTTAACTCACAGGCCAGGCTGAAGGCAAAGAGTCAGGTGTGGGTTCTAAAGAATGCAAAAATAAAGGAGCTGCTTGCCTGTGCTACAGGCACTACAATAGTGAATGACTCAGTGAAGGGGCAGAAGCTCAGGAAAAGGCTGGGCTTTGTTTGGACTCTCCCTGACAACAGCTGCACAGTTAATATAGCAGTAAAACTTGCTACTAAAAACCACAACTATTCTATATTCTATTAGCTCTATAAAGAGCTAATTATTCTCTAAGTTAGCAAATTGCAGGAATGCTCTGGGTGCCAGGTTGTTTCTCAGACCCACTGCACAATATGTCTTGCACTTTCTTTTGAATTGTGTCTTTTTGAGATTTTTTTTTAGTGTGAGAAACTGAACTGGCCTAGTAAAATGAGAAATCCAACGTGCTGTTCACCCTTCACCTTCACAGTTTCTGACTGCAAATTACTGTATTTCCTATTGACTTAGAGTAATTGGATGTCAAAAGCTAATCATCAGATGTTTGCTATCATTACACAGTTGTTGTATTGATAACAGGCTTGCACTTATGACTTTAATTAGCTGATAAGAGCTGCACTGAAAAAGAAAGTGCTAAAAACTAGATGATGCAGCCAATGCTTATCTTTAAGATTTACAGGTTCCTTTCTATCACTACTTTATCTATTTTTTATCATTTCTTGATTACTCGGCTTTAACTGAACACCACAAAATAGGGGATAAAATATTTCAGTTCACAGCTTTGTGCATTTGGACTTCCTTGTTGTTGCTTGTTTGGCTGGTTGTTGTTGTTGCTGTTGTTTTTCCTTACCACAGCCCAAAATAACGTGGATGAAAAACAAAGTGCTGATAATGAATGACCCGAGGTACAGGATGTTCAGCAACCAAGGTGTGTGCACCTTGGAGATCCGCAAGCCCAGCCCCTACGACGGAGGCACCTACACCTGCAGAGCTGTCAACGAGCTGGGAGAGGCAGAGGTGGACTGCAAACTGGAAGTGAGAGGTAAGAAGGGCTGCAAAACACTGCAAACACCTTCTTTGCCTGAGCACTGTCTACAGAGCTGAAAGGATGCAAGGCAAGTTCAAAAGGAAGTTCAGCTTTCCTGCATTAAATTAAATTAGCTCTATTAGGACAAAATAATGCTGGTTGCTTTCATTTGTTCTGTTTCCATTTTCCATTCCATTCCAAAGTTTTGTGAATTTCAGGTAGTTTAGAATTAACTGGGATACCATGAATGGCAACAGGACTTGGATAGGATAACTAGTGAATAATCTCAGGACCATATTTTTCAGAAAATTACTTCCTCGGAAAAGATAGGGTCATATTTAGCTGGACTAATTCCTACCAAAGGCTTAGTTTCAACTGTGGAATAAACTGTTTCTCGAAAAATTATTCTGAGGTTATAAGTAAGGAAAACTGCCTAAAGACAGCTGATAGGAAGTGTCTAACTAAGGAATTCAGAGGTTATTTAGGTGACATTACTGCCATCATGCTAGTCTATAATTAAAACCACATTTAATATTTTTATGGATTGCATTGTGTTTGTTTCGCATTTCAGTTTCCATTCTCTGTATTTTCTGATGTATCTTGTCCCACAGCTCAGATCTGCCAGCAAGCAGACATTTCAATAAATGTTTTGTCTATGTTCAGTTGAACACTTAAATAATGTAATGAAAATAAGAATAATGCATTTCTTAATTTTTATTTTTTATTTCTAAGATACTGTTTTTAAAAGGCGATGTCCTCATCATGGAAGTAAGATTGCTTTCTTTAATCACAAGTAAACTTTCTATTTCACAGCATAACAGAAGACCTCAACACCTGAGAAAGTTACTTTTCTATTTTTTTTATACTGAAAAGCCAAGTTATGTTATGTTGCTAAGTGAACACAGCAGCTGAAGCCTAGCAAACCAGGATAGGCTCAGCGTCTGCTCTAGGCAAATATAGCAAATTACTCTTAAACAGCCAGAGTACAAAGACATCATTACACCTTATTTCTCTCTTCTATTGACTTACATGTTGATTTATCATCCTCTTACGTTTCCCAGCCTGTTTGTTCATTTAGGAGGGCTCCCCAGATGACTGCTCGCCATGCTGATGCAGAGCAGAGACCTGCGGATTTCTGACTCACTGGAAATGAATTGCAGTCTGTGTGTGTGTTAGTGTGTGTTTGTTTTCATATGTACAGCTTTAAACCAGTTCAGCTTTATTCCAGCAAGTCAGACTACCAAAGTCTGGATTTGTAAGATGATGAGATAGAACTGAATGTTGTCTGAATAAGATTAACATGCTCAAGGCTCTGATGCCTATCTGGGGAACCTACAAGCTATGGTGCTGTTACTACAGATAGTAGGTTTGACTTAACTAGTAAGTCATGCTAGTCCTGCTCTTGTGCTATGCAAGAGTATTTATTGTAGCAAGCATATTTCCTTATGCTGGCTAGAATTACTTTTAGCCATCCATCTCTGAAATACTGGAGAACATAAATTTATTGTCCCTATATAAATACTCAGCCCCAAAAGTATCTGAACAGCCTAGGATTTCAGAGTGTGCATAATATTGGAATATTCTGGCTATGAATATTATCAGTATGCTACAATTTTCTACATTTTAGCCATTTTCTTACACTATTTTAGGTGTAAAATTAACCCCCCTAGCTGTTGCTAAATGTAATGCTCATTTCCTGAAATGTTTTAGTGATCCATATAAGCACAATAAAAATAATAAAAACTTTTTCTGTCCTCATAAGAGGTTTTTCATGTACTGATGTTATTTCAGACATTCAATCTTCTGTTCTTTGGTTTTAAGTTTTGCTGAGTGAATTTAAAGATGGATGTTACATGGCCTACTCAGTACAATTACACATTTAGTGGCCTTTTTTTGTAAATGTGTTTGTGTAAAAAGTCATGTTATGGAGGACTCTTTCTCATCTATATTGAAAGATAATAACATACGCAGAATCTCATTACAAAAATACTGTATATATCTTTTGAGTTTGTTGAATTAGATCCCTAAATTTGGCTCTAAATCTCCCATTACAAGCACTAAAAAACTGATTCCTTATCAGCTTCACTGAGGTCAATGAAAAGAATTAGATAAGGTGCTGTGCTTCTTTTATCATGGAAAAAACAGCTTTGGGGAACCTTTATCTTAGAAGTGAAATAAAGGTTGATGATCACTCTAATAATAGGTTGATGATGGCAAAGTTGCTGTATAAGAAATTTTATTTTTAAAAGGTGTTAAGATCAAATGAGAAAAATTTCAAATGCAAATAAATACCACTATAAATATTCTAATTCTGCAGTGATCTATCATGGAGTAATTAACCCAGGAGAACCACTCAGCTTGGCGGGGGATAATCAGGTTTACAATGCGCGTACTCCTCTGGACATTCCATTTCATTCCCACCCTCTCTTTCCACATGCAAATGCCTTTTCTGCATGCTAAGTGTGTATTTCTTTGCTTTTTTAGATTCAACTAGCTAGAGTCTCATGGCATACACTGTCTATGTCACATGAGCAAAGAAGGCCAAATTAATCAAGACAATATCCAACCATGGGTATTTAATATCAGAATTACTGAGGTTGTAGACATATTTCATAAAAGTACATGTATCTATAAAGAATTATTTAATCACTGTGAATATATTTGACTACAACACTTAGATCTTTCCAGGACAAAGAAATATGCATTTCAAATAAACCAGCTCTCAATTAGTTTGTAGAATTATTGAAAGACCAGAAGTATCATAAAGTCATTTGCTGCACTTTAGAAAGGCATTCTTTATAGGGCATTTCTCTTTGATTACAAATTAGTGCTCAGAATGATAATCTGTTAAGTTCATGCCTGAACTTAAACCGACCAATTTTAAGGATGAGTCAAGATTTTAATCTTGACTCAATTACTTACAAGCAGAAAATTTTACTTTATTTACTTCATTTCTTCTAGAGCTTATTTTGCATTCAAGTTCGTTGGGGTTCAGAAAATTTGCCTCTTTCTATAGAAATGCCTCTTTCCTTGCACTCTTGCCTAGATTCAGACTATTAACAGTGCAGTTTTAAAATGACAGTGATGTCCAGAAACTGGTCTGCAATGTATTATAGATTTATGATTTCAGTCCTAAAACATGTTAGGAGATCAGACTGGATAATGTTTCCACAGCTTTCAAACTACTGTATTTTTCTTAAAAGGCTACAATAGGTAAAAAGTTCAGTATTTTTATAGACATAGATAAATGTATATATATATAGGTGTTTTATAGAGTAAAAATGTTTAATTAAAGGTAAGGGCTCCTACAGGGTAAATAGCATGCTTTAGTAATGTAAATATGGATATATGACAAAGTACATACTATAGTGCACAGGTATGTAATTAGTCTGTACTTGATTATTTTGCCTTACAGAGTTTCAACATACATATATATATTGTTCAGTGTTATGTGTGTGCCTTTTTTCCCCCCTAGTGGAAAATACTCTCTCTCTATATATATATGTATGTGGTAGCTTCTTTGAAGCTACATTTGGAAACTTTTATCATAAATATAATTTGGTTCCAATCTATACTTGAGACTAATTAGAGGTTTTTATAGTTACTTGTACCTATTAATCTAGCTTTTACATATTAATGATAATTTTGAAGTGGAACTGGATCCCTACCTTTTACTCTTCATGTGCTTCTATTCCCATATATTTTACATGACTAAGGATTAAATTATCACTTTGACATAATTGTAATAATAATTTCACTCAACATTTTCTCTCCACTTTTGTGTTTGCAATTAAACTGTTACTTCTCTTTCTCTCTCTCCCTTAGTTACACAGTAAGGATTTTTGAATGTATAGTGTCATCTAAGGTAAGCTTTCATATGGTTCTTGCATATGAAGCTTATGTCTGTTTATACGTCATACAATGTCTGCCTAGTATGGCATGATTTTCATTATGTCACTTAATGAAAATGTTAAATAAGTGAGTTAATTAAATAAGTTAATAAGTTAAATGTTAAGTTAGCAGCATGATGGTTTTAAGGCATACAAATTCAGATATTAGTAATTGCTTGTTACGGTAATTCTTAGTAGTACATCCCATACCTTCTAACGGTGCATGTTTCAATTGAATTTAACAGTGCATGACATAGAATGATTAATTAGTACAAACAAAATGCAAGTAATAAAAACAGCATTATGTATTTACAGCAAGTTATTTTTTATAGGAATATGCCTCTACATAAACAAAATATTTATTTCAGCGTTAACTTCTTTTAAAAATGAATGATTTGTAGCTCGACTTGCACTCCATGAGCTGAAGGAATGCCAAAAAGCTGAAAGAATGCCAAAAAGCATGCTTTTTTCTTTTTTTTTCTTTTGGTCTGTATTGTGCATCTACCTAAGGTTGGGGGCGAACACTTCCACCACAATGATGACATTAAATGAGACAGCACAGTCTCATAATCACTAGTAACTAATAGCACTTTAATTGAATAATCCTTGTCTTAATAAGGGTTATAAGTCCTTAAAAATCTGTACTCAGCATAAATGTTGTATGTAAGTATCAGCTCAGTTGCATTTAGCTGAAGCATTCAGTGTGTTTCTTCACCCTGGCAATGTACTTTTGCTTTAAAGCTTTTGGTGTGTTCCAGGAAAATCTCAGAAGGTAAGTGCAGCTGTCAGTGGGTGGTTTGCAACTTGCAGAGCACAATATTCATGCAGATTTGTGAAGGGAATAGTAATGGTGTATAGCTTTCGTAAAGCAATTTTCACCCTTTGTCTGGAGAAAGGGCAGATTCTAAAGTTTTTAGCAAAATATTTATCTTTCTCTCACTGTTTCTTCCAAACATCATCTAATTTAAATGAAACTAACGGGAATATTGGTGTTTAATTTTCATGGCTTTTACATCAGTGGCATGTGGCATCCACAACCACTATGGGCAACATGTGCCAGGGTCCCAGCACTTTCACAGTGAAGAATGTCTTCTTTTTATCTAATCCACACCCACCCTTTTCCAGTCTGAAGCCACCACTCCTCGTCCTGTCACAACAGGCCCTTGTAAAAAGTCCCTCTTCAGCTCTCTTGTAAGTTCTCTTTAGGTACTGGAAGGTGCTCTGATGTCTCCCTGAAGCCTTCCCTTCCCCGGGCTGAATAGCCCAAATAAAAAGTGCAATTTTTAAGTGAATTTAAAAGCAAATCTAGAATGATTCCTCAGACTTCCAGCAGACGAAAATTTCAGCTTTCATCACCTCTCTCTCTGGACACTATACCTGAAATACTGGCTTTTAAAATATGATTCTTTCATGGATGTCATCCCACTTGTCATTTTCAAGCAACATGGTAAATATTTTGCTAAATACCTAGAAACCATTTTGAGACTCAAAACTAGAAGAAATTGAGTATCTCTGCATGTTTTTCACAACTCATCCTGGTCAGTGTTTCCTACATTGTTCCCCCTGCACTGACTTCCATCTCTGACCATACTCCACCCAGCGTGATGGAAAGCCAGGAGAGTTATTTGAAGTGAAGCTCATCATAAACTATTGCATGTGGTGAGATAAATGACTGAATATATGATACCCTAGAAATGAAATTCACCCTGCACAAGAGGACAGGAAAGGTCTGTACAGTATCAATTAAATAATGGGTACATGTCATACTGGACTTTTGAGCAGGGCTGAATTTTACCACATCTCAAAATATGTAACAGAGACTGACTAAACCTTGTCACTTATGCCAGAGAATAAAGGTGCAAAGCTGTTGCTCCAGAGACCTTCACTCTGAAGATTTTCCTGTTTTCCTTGCTTGTAGGTGGGCTTTCATTCTTCAAGCTATTAATGGATGGAGTGCCTCCGCACATCATTGACTCGTATATGCGTGAAGTGCAGGCAGACAAAACTGAAGGGAAGTGAGAGTCCGTCCACAGTGCTTCCTCCACTGCACTGGAAGCTGGTAGCAGAATAATAACATCATTTTAGTTCTTGCAACGACAGAAAAACATGTGTGGTGGGGGATTTTATGACCTGGGTTTTTTTCCCCTTAATTGTCCTTTTGTTTTCCCTACCTGCTCTTACTGAAAAGAAAGAATTACGCATGGATTGCTTTGAGGTTGAAATGAAATGAACTGAAGACAACACACGTTTTGTAATGTTCGGCTTTCTGTTTGGTATCGTGTTCTGGTTTTTAATGAGGAAAGAGGGGAAGCTGTGTAACAAGCACAAGGAAGCAGTCAGTCTGTTCTCAGTGGTACAAAGCATATCTTTCTCAGACTGGAAGTACATGGATTAGCCAGTAGATGTGCAATAAGATCCTTGGAATACATACCTCTGATAATGTATCTTATTCACCCAAGAATTGTTTAACAGAATATGGTTTTACTATAATGTAACTAATGCATATGTAATTAATGATCATTTAAGCTGAACATATCTTCCTATAGAAGTTTTGATTTCCTAAATCCAACCCACTGGTCTCTCAACTTAACTGAAATTGTTTTATTTAATGTACAATAAACATGAAGTGTTCAAGATCTATTAAGTTCTTGTTGACTTTTTTTTTTCTGTCTCATTTTACCACATTTCTTGTTTTATTTCCACTAACAGTATCAGCAGTCACCTAACCCGGTGGCTTACACCTTAAGATACATGACACAGAATGTGAGGGGATAAATGCTATCAATACATGCAACTTTTTATCTGTGCATTTTTCAGTATTTAAAATGTGATAAATGCCAGCCATGACAGCTTTCACCATTCTGGTTCCACTCCCTTCCCCCAGTAACTCTTGCAGCCATCACATCAGAAAAGGGACTCAGACATAGCATTGGTGAGTTCACTGCGCATGGCAAAAGTACCTGAGATAAGGTAGTGTCATGGTTTGAGCCTGGCACAGAGTTAGTGCTCTCCATGAAAATGCTTTTACTCTGGTGTCTGCTGTGAGATGTGACTAGGAATAAGTAAAACAGGCTTTAACTTATGTTAAAAAAACTTATATTTTTATAAAAATAAAAAACACTTTATTACTTAAACTACAGGAAAATAGGGAAAGACTATAAGGAAAAGAAAAAAAAAATTGAAAACTTTACAAAAACCACTTTTCTTCCTCTCCACTACTTGACTTTCTCAATCTGATACATTCTCCTAAAACACTAACTGCCTAGCCTTGGCCTCACACTTTAGTATACTCAAACTGCAGTTCATGAAGAGGAAAGGAGTCTTTCTTGTTTTATAGGCTTCTCTTGGAAACACACTGAAACTTCGTGTGCTTCTTTGTCACTTCGGCACCGCCCGGAAAAAAAAGTCCTTTTGCCGCTTGTGACATCTTCCTTCCATGCCCAGTGCTCTCACCACTGAGACATGGCCAGAGCTGCTTTTAGGGTTGTCTTTCAAGGATGCCTTGTCTCACTCCAAAAAAGGCACAGTCTCTGCTTTGGGACATCTGTCCCCCCCATATTTTTCTAACTCCCTGGGGCCGGGGGGTCTTCACGAATGAACCCTCCTGGTTTTGAGGCACTGCCTCCCCCTAAATGCAGTCTGTGTCACAGGAACAACTGAGTCCATGGCCACAAGAAAAGTCTAGCCAAAAAGCTACTCTAAATCATCTCTCCCCATCTAAATCATCTCCACGTTCTTCGGGCCAGGTCCTTGTCTCATCTCATCTCTTATCTCCCTTCTTATTCAGCTTCGAGGAGGATTAGCATTTTTGTAAGGCCTCAATCATGAAAGAAAGGGTTAAAAGTTTTCAGTCTTTGTCTGTCTTGGGACGAGATGATACTCCCACACGTGCTGCTGCTGCTGCGGCCGGCCGGGCTGTACCCTTTTCCCTCCCCCCCTTTCTTTTCCTGGGCCGGCTGCTATCACCGCCGACTCTCCCTCTCTCTCTCCCTCCTGGGGGGGGGGCTGGCTGCCTGATGTCTCGATGTCTCTTGGGGCTCCTCCACCCTTCCATCTTTGAAAGCCCCTCACCTCCCATCTCTGTCCAGGCCCCGGGCCTACTGCATGGCTGGCCCTCCCCCGCCCAGCAGCAAGGCTGGACGGGGGAGAGATCTGACCTCTTCACAGCGACGTCTCAAGAGACAGTGCCAAGGCCAGTGCCCTGCTTTTAACCCCTGTGTATTCTCGGAGGTGTGTCTAAACCCCACTGGTTACACTAAGTGCCAGTCTCAAACTTAAAACTTTCATTGGTTTGACCACAGCTTCCCAGAATTCCTACTCCTTCCTGATCAAACCACCACAGGTAGAACAGCTACATTTCTTCTCCAACTCCAGCATCATTAAAATCCAAGTTCTTTAGGAGAGGGGCTGATTGTCCCTGAGTCTCCAGCAAACCCTGAAACATGAGAGACACAAGGTCACAAATATCTTGGCCAGGCTGTCAGTTCCTTATTGCCCTGACATTTATTTACCAATTCTCACTCTGGCTGTACAAACAGGGCAGGTTATGTGCTCACTGGCTAACGACTGATCTCCAATTAGGGTTTATAAAGATAAAGGCCTACTTAGACCAGTGGTACATCACAAGATGTTTATTTGATGTCAGCGCATTTTCAAACACTCAGCAGTCAGTAATTATGCAATAAAAAAAGAATGTGCTACTCTGAACCGCCACACCTGAAGCAGTGTTTTCACAGCTGTGCTCCCACTTCTTTTGCTTTGGGGATCTGAGTGCCTTTTCCCACATTGTTCTGTAAATCTGACTCAGATAGATAGATAGACAGACAGATACTTTTTTCTCACTTTTTATCTTAGTGATTTCTTTTGTAGTGCTATCTGTGCAGGGAAGCAATTCTGCATTCCCAGTGATCCTGGACACCCCTCCACACCCCAGGTGCATTTCACCCTGCTCCTGCCAAAATCAATCCTCTCCCACACATTCATTCACACCAATACAACAAAGAAAGCAACACATATACTAGGGAAAGAATTTCATACAGGATTAATAATTTCTGTTTATTCTGTATCTCACCAGTGAATTGAGATTCCCTTCATGTATTTTGAAGCACAGAAAGCTGCAGGAGAAGGTCAGTTTGATTAAATGCCATACAGATTTAAGCATTTAAGTACGTGGCCCACATTTAAAGCAGTATCAGTCTGTTATAGTCAGCACCAAAAGCTACAGTTTTTGTGAGTTTCTGCTTGTCAGTAAGCCCAAAAATGAAGCACACAGCAACCTGCACTTTGTATACATAACATTTACAGCTTCAAGGTTACATTTATCTGCCTCCTCAGTCTTAATATCCCACACATAACAGCCTGGAAGCCCAGCATAACCTCAGCTTCTGCCGGCTCTCTGTGGATGGAATTAGCCAGTCTAATTTCTCCCAGATGCCAGCGTTGTTAAACAACAAGCTGACCTAAGCTCCTTTTCCCTGTGTGAACAGTAAGCGTTGCACTCAGCTGCCCTCAATTCCTCCCCCTGCACCCCCTCGGGCTGGGGATGAGAGGAGGGGGCATTAACCTGCTCTAAATCCAGACTACACCGAGCAGCCACCACTCTGAATCAAGAATTAACTGAATTTCAGAGAAATTATTGGATGGTGTGGGACTGAACAGGGATTTCTAGAGATTTAAAACAGGCTGCAGAACCTTATTGGGAGAATAATAGAAAGAGAAGTTTTGGTTTATGACAATTTGCCCTATAGGATTCTCCAGGAATCATGTTTGGTGGATGTAGTAGTGACCAAACCCAAAGAGTTAGGACAATGTTAATGAAACCAGCAATTAATATCAGCTATAGGAAAACAAAGAAGTACCAAACAGCCACTACAGGAGAAGCAACAGAATATCATGCTGTAGATGTGAATAATACTCCAAAGAAACTTCTCCAAAGCTACAGGGATTTCCAGGTAATTAGCAAACCTGAAAGACATCAGAGGGCAGCAAATACGCAAATACATGTAAACACACATAGACAGACACACGAAGATGAATCAAAGTTAATCTAAAATATTTTAGTTTATTTTTAGTTTATTTTTAATGAAGCCAGAAGAAAATATCTGGTCTTCTCTTGGCTCCTATTTGCTTTCTCTGCCAATGGAAGGTTATTTGGTATATAAATACAGCTCCATTCTCAAACTGGTATATGTGGATCTTGATACAGGCACTGCAGTTACCCATGTGCATTAAAAGAACACAGCTACTGCCAGCACACTTTTCCTTTACTGAAAAAAAATCTCACAAACACAAAGGAGAGGAATGAAAAAGAGACAAGTAATCTTTAAAAGATTATTTAAATTAGGATATACTGTTAATAAGGTCTTTATGAAGAGTCAGAATTTTTAAAGTATTCCTTTTATAAGAATAATTTTAAACTTCCTGAACTTCCTTTTAGGGGGGAAAAGTGTAATATTAGTACATTTTACAGAGCATTGTGAAGGGACTCTCACTTAGTGAAAGTCTTTTGTTGCATTTTAAGATTCTGGAGCAAAAGGCATTCTATTTTAAGCACAGTGTACTTACTGTCACTTGACTTTCATGTCCTGCTTTCCTGACTGACAGGTAAAGCTGCTGCTTTGGTAGCAAAACAGTATCTTGAATGCTGAGGAAGCACTAGAAGACTAAACACACTGGACTTAAAATTCTGTGTTCCCCTATTCTATGCTTTGTTGAGGAATGCTTTTGAAATTAAAGCAAACAGCTCCCCAAGCCCAGTGATAAATTCAGTAGGGAATCTGTTTCTACCTCTAATGTGGCACTTGCTTTTTATGCAACTTCTTTCCCCAGTTTCTCTTTTCCTTCAGCTATCCAAAGAGCAATCTCTCCCTAAATACCAGTTCTATTATGCTCATTGACCACACTGATGCACAGGATATTAAATGAAACAGTTTTACCTTCTCCCAAATGTAGTGATTCCAGTGGACTGGGGATCTGACTGGTTGTGACGATGTCAGATTTCCCTTTTGCTATTCTCCAGTTGGCTGTAACTGAACCTTTCTTTACTATTTATATGTAAATCCAGCCTACATATTCTCCTTTGCTAACAGCTCCTATCCCCTCTGCTTTGGTTTCTAAAGACAATTACTGCATCATACTGTTATTAATGATCTGTAAATTAAATCAGCTGATGAATGACATAGCACTTGGAATGCCCATAGCACACAGTAGGATTTGGAAATCACCACTTAACATGTGCCAAGCATTCCTGACTTTTGCAATAGAGAAACCTACTCAAACACATTATAACTTTATCAGTTGAAGTGAATCAGCTCCCTTTGAATAACAGGAAGCAGCTCTGTCCAGGAAACTGCAGTGTCTGGACAGAAAGCTGCACCCTCTGGCTCACAGTGGAGCAACTTAAAAAAAGAGAATTTCTAAGACCAAGAAGATGCCATTGCATGTTGTATTTTTCACTTTCTACTTCAGCCACACAGCTTTTCCTTGACCTCACTCAGAAACCACACAACCTCCCGGCGATTCAGGGATCTAAAATCCTTCACATGACCAATTTAAATGATTTGATGCGCCACAATTTCTCAAAAGGCACATTTG